ACAGCCTCCCACCCGCAACCGTAATGGGTTCAATTTCAAGTTCAGAGTGGGGAGGACGGATAGGGTAGGAAAGTGAGACACTCATTTTCAAACAAGTCTCCCTTGGGAATTCCTGCCTTGAAGTGCGGACAGTATCCAAGCTCCAGGGGGTAGGCTGAGGACCCTGAGACTCAGTTCCCAAATCATGTTATCATTTGGAAGTTCCAGGCTAAAGTTGGTGCTGTCAGGGCTCTCCAGATTTGGGAGGCCCCCCTAACCGCCGGGCCTCTGGCCTCAGTTCCTTGCATTTCTGGCAATAAAAGAAGTCAGGGACGTTGGTCTTCTTAATCTTAGCACAGGAGAGGTGGATCCACGTCCCACACAGGCTGCACTCAATCATGGGCCGCCCTGCAAAGGGCTTTCGACAGTAACACGTGATCAGATCCCATGAGTCATCACCTGGGGAAAAAAGGTTTGTTTGGTATTCTGCCTGAGCAGTTGTTGGATCCACAACACCCTCAAACCCCTCGCCCCAGCCCAAACCTCTCACCTGATTCTACCATGATGTCCTCATCCATGACCCGCATCTCGCCTTCACTGGAGCTGGCATCTCCATCTTGGCTTGTTTCAGTGCTGCCCACCTCCTTGCTTTCACTGTCAGTAGGAGGGACTCCTTCAGGGTGCACTGTGGCAGGGGGCCTAGGAGCCTCGGGGGGTGTTGGGAGCACAGGGGCTGGGGCTTCACCCCCTACCACTGTTGCCATCTCTTCCTCTTCTTCCTCTTCCTCCTCTTCCTCCTCCTCTTCAGAGTCTGTATCACTGGGGGGTGCCTGGGGAGGCCCAGGAGGTGGGAGTCTATCCCCCCGTTCTGCCTTTTTTAACTTCCGCTTCTTGCTCTTCTTGATTCGAGATCTCTTTTCCCCATCCCCAGGAGTTGGCCGAGGCCTCCGAAGCACCCCAAAGCCAGCCCCAGCTCCTGGCCCCAACTTTCGGTTCTTTCGGTCCTTCTTTCGAGGAGGATGGGAGAGGTCCCCCTGGGAAAGGGGCACGGGGGTAAGAGCAGCAGGGGGCCGGGAGGTATGTGTCAGGGATGTGGGGGACAAAGGAGATGCCACCTTGGGCCCATCCAGATCAAAGAGAGAGTCCTTGAGCTTCATCTTCTCAAGCAAGGTAGCACTGTCGGGGGCCTGCAGACGAGAGAAAGTGGACCTTGGGGGTCCTGGCTGGGTGGGACCTGCTTGGGCTGCCCTTCTCTTGGATGACTTTGCTTTCTTAACAAAAGTCTGGATGGTTCGAAGATCTGAGGGGGCCGAGTCCCAGCCATCACTGTCGGCCGCACTCTCTCCTCGCAATGGAGAGCTGGAGCCAGAGGCGGGCCAGTCACTTTCCTTAAAAGGGGAAAGAGACCAGGGTCAGCGGAACCCGTGTCATCTCAGCCCCTCCACAAACCCAGCTTGAAAAGGAGTGACTAGATTTACCCCAAAATGTCGTCTACCTCAACCACTAAATCCCACTGTACTCCCAAAACTTCTCCCCACCCCAATTCCCATCAGCATGTCCTCGTGACCACTCCGTGTTACCTCCACCTTCGAGTCTTGATATTTCACCGCTGCCCCGCCCAGGGCCTGTGGAACACGGTGTCCCCCAGACCAGAGCCGTATGTCCTTAGCTCTTTTTCTGTGTAGCCTCATTTGTTACCATTTTCATCTCCCTAAAATTTATCCATAAACACCTATTCACAGCACCTCAAGGCTGCCAAAATCTCGACCAGCAACTCCAGATCCCCCTTGCTTTTTCACTGCTGTTCAAGCTAGCTAGCCCTGCCATCCACTCCCTGCATACCAGCTTTCCTACCACAGTCCTAAGAATCTCCAACTTCCCTCTAGTCTTACATATGTCTAGGGGCCTCCTCCTCTAAAGCAATACAGTTCTATTTGAACAACAGCCACTCTCTAGTCCCACGACACCAGCCTCAAGTCAGTAATTCTCTTGCCCCTACCTCTTTGCTAGGGGGGATGTAACCAGCATATGCCAAAACAAAACTGCAGAATTTGTTGAAATCCTCAATTGTTCTCCGCCGTTTCTCTGGTGGCTGAAAGGAAGGAGACATGGATCACATGGAAAGCCACACAGTTTAAGAAGGGCATTCCCAGAGACACAGTCCCCAAGTGAGGCGTCTAGAAAAGGGGGGCGGGGGCGTTGTCAGGCAAGGCTACTAGGCTGCAAAGATCAGGGAAATCTCACCTGAGTCTCTGGCTTCAGGGTCGGAGGTGGATCTGGAAAAGCAATAAAAGCTGAGTCAAGACACTAGGAAACAGTCTGTGTAAAATTCCTCCTCTAAACCCTGTTGTTCCTAAGTGAACCCCCGGCTCTCCCAGGTCCCTCTGCCCGGCCAGCAGGCCCCCAGCTGTGTTGGATCCGCCCCTGCTACCCCTTCCGCCCCGCGAGGGGCGGAGCCTGGGCGCGGCGCCCTCTGAGGCCTCGCTATAGCGCTCCCCTTCCCCCAACCGGAGGCCCGGCGCCCCGCCCCCCCCCAACTCACGGTCTCTCTCCACTCTAGTCTACTCGGATCCCTCAGCGCCCCACCCCACCTTACCGCTCCCGGGTCCGCGTCCGGGCCGCCGCCCGCCGCCCGCCGCCCCCGTCCTTCACATGCGTCCAGAGCCCCGAGTTCCTACCCGACCGCGCTCCACCGCCTCAGGCCCTCCGAGACCGCACACGCCGCCCGCCGGCCCCCAGGGTCCAGGATGACCACGCCGAACCGCTCCCCGCCCTCCGGCCCCTTCTACTCGAGCACGCGGCCCGGCGCGCCCCTCACCCCCACCCCAAACACACACAGGCACACGCATCCAACGCTACTTCACGGCCGGGACAGACCCGGGAGCTCTAACCCGGACGCGGCCCCACCTGCCCCCCCCATACCGCGCTCCCCACAATTTCGCCGTCCCTCCGCCCCCATCCGGGGCTTTGGCCCCTCCTCGTTTCGAGCTCCCCGGGCTCCCCGCCGGGCCCCCCGGCCCTGTTCCGAGCCCACTCCGGCCGCCGCCGCCCCCCCTCCGCCCCCGTACTCACCACCCAGTCACTAGGCTATGGACCCTCAACTCCAGCCCCTTCCCCCCAACCAGCCACTCTCTCTCCACAGCAGCCACCGCTGCTGCCACCGATGCCCCCCTCACCCTCAGCAACTCCCAGGCTCTAACCCTCGCGGACCAACCCTAACCCCCCCGCAAGTCGCCGGTCTTAACCCCCCCACCCCGCCCCACCACCCCCTACAACTACCCAGCTCGCCTCGCTTCCTGGCTCGCTCTCTCCACAACTACCCCCCGGTACAGGTCCGTCTGCCGTAGACAATACCCAGACCCCCTCTTCTCCCCACAACTACCTGCCCACCCCTCCGACAATCACCGGGCATTCTCCGGCGGCAACTATTCGGAGCTCCCGTACCACCGCCACAAACTACCCCACCTCGGCGAACTACCGGGCCCCTCACTCAGCCTCTTCTACGTCCTCCCTCCTGAGCAACTCCCGGCCACTGGATTTCCCCAACCTTCCAGTTCCAGGGCCCCAATCTGCCGGTGGCCCTTTCGGGCCCTAACCCCCGAGGCTCCGGATTTCAAGCTCCTATCCCCCGCACCCCCACACCGTCTGATCTCCAACTACCCCAGCCCAGTCTCCCACTCCTCTTTCTCCAAGGTCTCTCAACTCGTCGCTCTCCCACCTCCAGGGCCAACCTCCCGACCCCCTCCCCGAACTCCCCCGCTGGGCTTCGGGGCTCGACCTCCAAGTTTGCCAATTGATTCCTCGTCCGCCCCCCCGCCGGCTCAGCGTTCCGCGCCGGTCGAAAGCTCACCTTCGGGACTGGGTTCCGCCATGGCTTCCAGCATCGCCCCCTCCCCTCCTCCCGGTCCGGCGCCCCCCTCCCCGGAGCCGGGGATCCCGGTGCCGCCTCTAGTGCTCGATGCTCCCACTGCTTCGCTCCACAGAAGTGTCCGCCTCAGCCCGGTTGAGACTCGAGTCCGCTAGCCGCTGCCGCCACCTCCCTCTACCACTGCCTCCCGCACTCCCGGACCGGGCCCCCTCCCCCCGCGCCGCCGGCCGCCTGCTCCCTCCTCCTCCTCCTCCTCCTCCTCTCTCCTCCCTCCCTCCTCTTCTCTCCCTCCTCCCTCCGCCGGCGCCGAGGCGCAGTGCACCAAGGGTTTTGTAGTCCGTCCAGGGACAGCGGAAAAGGGACCGCATGAGCCTCCGGAACTTTGATTCCCAGAAAGCCACAGGCTGGCGCAGGCGCACCAAGCCGCTCCCCTCCCCCGGGGAGTGGCGGGGAGACCGGGAGCCAGAGGGGAGAGCGGAAGTGCGCGCGCAGGCCCCTGGGAGATGTAGGCTGGGCGGGACCAAGAAAGAAGAGGAAGAAGGGATTAGAACTCTCGGCCACCATACTGCCTCGTTCTGCAGCTTCTTTCTCCCCCGAGGGACCACCCCACTTCCGGCCTGCCGGAGAAATGATTGCTGGGAGATGAAGTATTCCTGGCGATAATGGCTCCCCGTCCCAGTCTTCTCCCTCCCTGATTCCACTCTGCCGAATCCCACACACCGGCAAAAGTCTAGCCAAGTGACATGCAACTGAGAACAGCCGTTTTACTAGCTTACACACATGAAAATATCTTCCTTAATTAGAATGTTCTAGCAAATGTGGATGTTCACCTAAAGCAGGTACTTTGGAACTTTCTCCACAGGAACCCACAGTAAAAAAAAAAAAAAAGTTTTACCTGAGCATTTTTAACATTCAGTTTCACATACATGTTATAAAACTAAAGTTTCATGAAATAATCCTCAGTATTCCATTCCATCACAAAAAAGCACCCTCTTTTTGCAGACAGGGAAAAGCCCAACATGGACAGAATAAACCAAAATATACTTCTATTCCTCCAGCTTGTACCCAATACTCCTTTCCCCACCACTGAAACCCACTGACACCTGGGAAAGACTAAAAATCAGCGGGACGAGGGGAGCAACACAAGGCAAAATTCAGTTCAGCTTGGTGGTTTCCTCTTTATTGATGTGCCTCCTACCTTTCCCCCCACAATTTCAGTCCCTTCCAACTACCCCCAAAAAAGAAGGTAGTGAAAGGAAGGGATTGCTGGGGTTCTGAGCCCCTTGGGCAGTCAGAAAGGGAACAGAAACCAAAACAATCACTGGATGTGACAGAGACTGACAATCAAGAAGTCTAAAGCAGGATAGGAAAGGCGGGCAGAGAAAGGGGAAGAAAGGAGAAAGGAGAGGTACAAGATGCCAACTCCACCATTACCCCTCCTAAGAGAGGCTGGAGAGAAAGCCTCAAACATTAAGAAGTGCCTGTCCTGAATAAGGGAGGTGGTGTTTGAGCTTGAAGGAGGAGGAGGTCAAGAAAAGGGGGCCACCTCTCTCTTTGTAGAATGAGACCCCCCTCCAGCTCAGGGACAGCAGCTTCACAGACCGTAGACACTTTCATCACTGTAGGCAATGTAGAGAAAGAAGTCTTCTTCATGGTGTTCCTGGGATGAAGGCAGAAAACTGTTCAGCAACAGGGCTCCAGTTACTTAAACCAACCACGACCCAGACACTTTCTTCTAGAACCAGAAACCAGTGCCCGACTCCTTCACTGACTCCAAGGCCTAGCACACGAGCAATATAATCTCTGCAGTCCTGGGCAAAAAAGGCCTCAAACTGTTTTCTGCTGCTTTGGAATGGGGAGGGAGACTGGGAAGAGTCCCGAACAGTTTCTCTAGCTCACTGTTCTCTTTCCTTCTCTCTGCTCCTACTGTTCTGTCCCAACCCCCAAACCACGGCTATTATGAAATGTTAAGGCAAGCGAGGAAGCTAGTCCAAAACTACTGATGTAACAACACTTTCTTCCCCTCACGCTCTTCCAAGATTCCTCTCCAAAGCCTCCACCACTTCCCAGTCACCATACCTGGTAGAGCTGACCCATTGTGGCACTGGTGGGTGGAATGACATTGTTGACAAAGAAAAACAAGGCGTCCTCAGCTCGGAGATGAATTCGCTTCCGGATCAAGAAGTAGAACTGACCAACTGCAAAAGATACAAGGTGCAAGAAAGTCACAGAGATCAAAAATGCCCTCAAAAGAACAGCTGCTAGGTGGAGCCTTCTCCCGCAGAGACTGCACTCCCACCCACGAGAAGCAAGCCTGAGCCTTGGGTCAGGTTCCCACCTGTGAGATCAGAAGGCACCAGGTATTTCTTTTTGTCCAGGTCTCCTATCCGAGCTTTGGGAGCCTTTTCTACTATCACCTGATAAAGAGATGAAAATTAGCAGACAGAAGGAATGCAGCGCCAAAGCTGCACCTGTCAGGAACTCAAGTAACAATATTCCTAGTACCTAAATCTACCCCAGACTCATCTCTTTGTCTTTGTACACGCGGTGCAGCACTGAGTCCCAGAGATCCTGACCTCACTGACTGGAGCTTATTTAAATATCCAAGATCCATCCACCGAATAGGGCGTCACCATAAACAACTATCTTAATCAGACGGAGATGACTTGTCTGGGTCCACTAGTGATTCAATCTCGCAACCTTAGCTAGTTGGGGGTATGGCCATTTGAGGCTCAGGCTGTCAAACTCTCTAAGGCCTCCACTCACACAAATGCTAAGGTTTCTCTCTCCTGTCCACATCCCTCTCAACCCCATGTCCATCACTACCCCACTCCTTTCATCCTCGGTCCCAAAGACAGCAGTTTCAGGCTCGCTCCCAACCCCAACACAGCCAGCAGCCTGATCCTTACGCTGCCCGTCCCAGATCCAAGGCCAGGCTGTGGCGTCAGCGTAAGCGTCCCGCGCCCTCGGCCCTGGCTTCTGTCCTCACCGGCACCCGGTCCGGGTATTTCTTTCGGATTTTCTCGCCCTCAGAGCGGCGCTTCTCGAACGGATGCTCTTCTTTGTACACGAACTTCATCCTCCCGGGAACCGGGCTGGACCGGGCTGGGCTGAGGGAACCCGGGGGGGCCGGGACGGGGGGCGGCGGCGACGGCGGCGACGCGCGGGCGGATTCAGCGGAGCGATCCACGAATTTGCGCCACTTCCCTATTCACCAACCCCGCCCCTGACTATCGGGGACGGCCCCCCCACTAAGATACGCCACTACCTCAGCGGTGCTAACGCTGCTAGCGTAGCACCACCCACTGACCGGCCCCCTCACGCCATTAGCGTAATCGCTTTGGAATCAATTTGTGGGCTACGCAGGTGACGTAGCAAAGACGGTTGGCTTTTGGTCATCGAAAATAACTCTAAACCTGTTCCCCAACCTTCCCCTCAACGAAGCTGGGGCTGAAGAGGAGTAAGATATGGTAATCATCATACGAGACTTGCTTCTCCAAGTTCCTTTCGGAAACAACGTAGAGGAACAGCAGAGACAATTACAAGGTTAGCTATTCACGAACCGTATTGCTACGCTGAAGGCGGCCGTTGACACCAAAACAAAGTAGTACCCAAGTAGCGGAGATGATCTCCAGAAGAAAGAAGTCAAAAAGAAAACAGATGTTTGGAGAGATGTACAGAACGCTTAAGTGCCAAGAATGAGTAGACCAATAGGGACTGGAGAGGAGGTTGGAGGGGTAGGGACTACGCCAGCGCGGAGGAACACCGCAGGGTTGCTGAGTGTAATCATGTGATCTCAAAGAGGGCGGAGCGTCACGTGGCGGGTGCGCGAAGTAGGGCCGGCTTGGGAGGGCGCCGGGGAGGCGGGGCCGGCTGGGCGACGGCGGAGAGTGGGGACCGACGCCTCTCCGGACAGCGGAGGTCGGGGCGCCAGCCTAGTGGGGCCAGCGCCCGCTTAGCCTGTCCACGTCAGTACCCCAGACGAAGCCCGACGTTTCTCCAGCTCTACGCCCTTTGGCCGTCCAGGTTTCTCCTTTCTTGCTTTCTAGCCTGCTGCTCCGAAGGTATCCTTCCACTCCCCACCAGCGCGCACATCCTCGGCCCTTCCCGCCAAAGCATCTGGTGGCCACATTCATTATTGCATGCCCATACTCAACACCACCTTTCCCCCTGCCCCTTGAGTCCAACAGCAGTCTCTTCCCCCTCTGCCCGGGGGAAAGGGTGCATGTAAACAAAGTTCCCTCCCTTCACTTCCCAAAACCCCAGAGAAGGACCTGGGGCCGCTTTGGTTTCAAAGTTATAATGCATGGTTTAAAAGAGAGGAAAGGAAAAAAGACACAAAGCTGGTTACAGGTCTGAGGGAATCTAAGGAGAGAAAAATAGAAGGAGAGGAAAGGGGGGACAAATTTAGGGAAAATCCAGTGGCCCAAAATCCCAGTATCCCACCCACAGCCCAGCCCTTGGAGCAGGAGTGAAGAATTAGATCAGTTTTGTCCAAGAGTTTTAAAAAAAATCCAATTACAACAAAGCTGACTTGGCTTCTCTTTGAGCCTCCTGGATCACCGTATGTCTGTCACTCTGGCCAGTCCTGCCTCTTCACACACACTGATTCGGTCTCCTAGGCTTCCGCCTGTATCCCAGTCTGGGGTTTCCAAGGAGTGTGAACACGAAGTTAAGAGTGAGGCTGCTTCAGAGCCCCCGGCCCATGTGTCCATCCAGACTCCAAGTGGAGTGTAGGGCTCCTAGGGCAGAGAGGGGTGGGAGGGGCAGACCCTGCCCAGGCAGTCCTCACATTGGACAGGGCATCAGACGGCATCCTAAGGGCTCGTCCTCCCTTTCCCCCCCACCCCAACTCAGGTGGAGGGGGAGCAGCTGTCACCAGAGCCGATGTTGGTGAAGGTTTCGGCTCAGCACGGAACGAACATCAGCGGTGAACCTGGGGTGACAATAACTTGCATTGGTAGAGTACCTTATAGTTGATACCCTCACAACATTCATGTAAGGCGGCATCACTGGAGATGTGGGACCTAAATTATCACCATATTCATGATTAGATAGGTTCAATTTGCCGACAGCCTACTCGCTAAAGTGATGAGCTTTTAGGTAAGAAGACCTGGTTCCAAATGTTAAATTCTTAAGGGAAGAGAGTTAAAACAGGACAAACGTTTTTTATTCCCTCTGAGGATCCCCCACCTCCTCCTTTCTTCAGATATCCAAGTGTCCAGAGCCCACTTCCCTTACCTGAGGGCATCCAGCATCGGGAGCAGGTTGAGAAGGGCTGTGTCGCTGGGGTCACTGAACCACGATTTGATGGGGATGGCATTGTCTAGGGTGGGTGAAAATGCAGATGAGGAGAAACAGAATTCAAGAGACTGGGTGTTTTTATCTTCTTGGAGGGAAGGAGAAATTATTATTAAAAACATATACTTCCCACTACTGGAAGTCAACAACCTAAGTAAAACTTTCCTGATTTATGCTCCAATATTAAGTTTTAATCACCAGGTCTCATACTTATTGATGCTTCTAGTCAAACTAACTGCCATTGTGCCTCACTTGAAACACACTTGGCCAGGCGCAGTGGCTCACAGCTGTTATCCCAACACTTTGAGAGGCCGAGGTGGGAGGATCACTTGAGCTCAGGAGTTTGAGTCCAGCCTGGGCAACACAATGAGATCCCTCCTCTACTAAAAATCAAAAAATTGGCCGGGGTGGTGGCTTACGCCTGTAATCTCAGCACTTTGGGAGGCCAAGGCGGGTGAATCACAAGGTCAGGAGTTCAAGACCAGCCTGGCCAACATGGTGAAACTCCGTCGCTACTAAAAATACAAAAAATTAGCTGTGCGTGGTGGCAGGTGCCTGTAGTCCCAGCTATGTGGGAGGCTGGGGCAGGAGAATCGCTTGAACCTGGGAGTCGGAGGTTGCAGTAAGCCGAGATCATGCCACTGCATTCCAGCCCAGGCAACAGTGCGAGACTCCATCTGGTAAATAATAAATAAATAAATAAATAAATAAATAACGCTGGGCATGGTGGTGCACGCCTATAGTTCCAACTACTGTGGAGACTGAGGCAAAAGGATCACTTGAGTCTGGGAGATCGAGGCTGCAGTGAGCTATGATCATGATGCTGCACTGCAGCCTGGCCAACAGAGTGAGATCCTATCTCAAAAATTAAAAAATTTATTTTTTAATTTTTTTTTTGAGACGGAGTCTCGCTCTGTCACCCAGGCTGGAGTGCAATGGTGCGATCTCGGCTCACTGCAACCTCCGCCTCCCAGGTGCAAGTGATTGTCCTGCCTCAGCCTCCCGAGTAGCTGGCATTATAGGCACATGCCACCACGCCTGGCTAGTTTTTTCTATTTTTAGTAGAGACGGGGTTTCACCATGTTTGTCACGCTGGTCTCGAACTTCTGACCTGGTGATCCACCTGCCTTGGCTTCCCAAAGTGCTGGGATTACGGGCATGAGCCACGGTGCCCGGCCAAAAATAAATTTTAAAAAAGAAAAAAATGATATAAGAAATCTGACTTATGAAATGGACATATATGGTATCTCACTTGAAACAGAAAAATAACTTGCATTTGGACTTTTCGCAAACTAGGGATGATCTAGGCAATCCCAGCTCTCAAGGACCAAAGCCCAGGTCTCCTGGGAAAATACCTTTTCAGAACCATGTTCTGGTCCTGCCAGCCTTACCACCTTCCCCCGTACCTGGATGGCTCCTGTAAGCCCCTGGGGAGTTATCCAGGATCACAATGCTGGAGAGGTCACTGTGGACCACAGAGAGGTCCTTGATGTAGCTGCCCAACTCCAAAGTGCAGTGCTGGAAGGCAGAGGATTATGTAGTAGGCCTCTCTCCAGGATACTTTCCTCAAACCCAGATCCCTCCCTGGTGGCCTCCCTCCCAAGTCACACTCTTAGACTGGGATTCTAGCTTACCTGTCTGTAGTATCTCCTCTTAAGAATGCTTCTGCTATTGTCCAGTTTATCTGCCACAGCAGAGCCATAGATCTCCATGCTTGCTGTAAACACCACCAGCTCGTACCACTGGCTCACCTGAAATAGATTAGGGGAGAGGGCGATGCCATACAAGGTGATGATTCCTTTAGACATAGTTATCTTTCAGAAGGGCAACAGCATAGTCCTTCAGGCCTTCCATCAACATCAAATGTCTCGGAGGACATGAAATTCTGAACCCCCAACCCAAACCTCCAAACTCAGTGTTAGGCATCCTACACTCTTAAGATTCAGAAATGCAAGCAAAAGAGAAAGATGCTGGCAGAAAAGAATTACATCAGCACAACAGATGAACCCCAAGTACTGAAAGCTACTTCCCCACCATTCCACATCCTCCCCTCTCAAAAACTGCTCTTACCCATTTCTCCTCACCCCTTCCTCCAAATCCTCCGAATCCCCAGAGCCCTAAAACCATCCCTTCATTACAGAGCCCCCTTTAGCTCTCCAAAACTCACCACTTCCAGGAAGAAATCCACATGGGGCCTCTTATGTACAAAAAACCGGACAGGATGTTTGTCTATTACCACCTATAGAAGAACAGATGGGCTGGGGGAAGTCATGACCACCACAACCCAGGCCTAGAAAATGCCCCACCTACCTGCTTCCCTCCTCCAGACTGACACTGATGCCAGTGGATGGAGACAGATGCTCTGGGACTGGGAAAGGGAGTCCAGGTCTGGGCAGAGGAACAGATGGAACCATTTCATCACTCCCCACCACCACACACCTTGAGGATGAAGTCAGGAGGCGTACCAGGCCGGACTGTGGGCCTCAGGACCCCATCATGGTGGGAGTGAATAAGTGTCTCATCCAGATCCAGCACCAGGATCTTCCTCTTCACCTGGGCTGAACCACAGTGGGGAAGAATAATATTGACCAACCTCTGGCCCAAAGCTGGCCCCTACTTCACCCTAAAGGAGGCTTCCCACCACATACTTACCTAGCCGATTCCGGGACACAGGAGATAAGGGGAGGATATCATATCGAACAGTTTGGTACTGAATTACCTACAAATAGCACAAAAGAGGATTGAAACCCTTGATAAGGAAGTCTTCCCCAGTAACAGTAACAAGGAGCACATACTGAACATTTACCACAGGTACTGTGTATGTAATTTAGGATTATTTCTTTTTTTTTTTTTTGAGATGGAGTCTCGCTCTGTTGCCCAGGCTGGAGTGCAGTGGCGCGATCTCGGCTCACTGCAACCTCCGTCACCCGAGTTCAAGCAATTCTCCTGCCTCAGCCTCCCTAGTAGCTGGGACTACAGGCGCCCACCACCACGCCTGGCTCATTTTCGTATTTCTAGTAGAGATGGGGTTTCACCATATTGGCCTGGCTGGTCTTGTGATCCTCCTGCCTTGTGATCCTCCTGATCTTGTGATCCTCCTGCCTTGGCCTCCCAAAGTGCTAGGATTACAGGAATGAGCCACCACGCCTGGCCTTTTTCATGTAATCCTCAAAACAACCCTAATACTACTGTTATTCCTGTTTTAAGGCCTCCCAAAGTGTTGGGATTACAGGTGTGAACGCCTGGCCCGGCTGAACCTGCCCTCTTAACTATGATATTATCCTGCTACACTGAACAAAGAAATGACCCCCACAATGCAACCTTCACCCCAAGAATTATTTGTAGCAACTACCATCATCTCACATTGGGAACTGAGAGCCTCAGACTCCCTATGCACAGGGAGTAGGAGTAAGGAGGAGATTCCTGGGTCCTTAATGGGAATATAGAATAAGGGAATCCAGAGGTTGTCAGGTCAGCTAAGTTCCTCTGGCTAGAAGCCACCAGGCCTATTTTAACCAGCCACCTGTCCACTTCTGTCTCTTCTAGCCAAGTCACAAGTTCAGAGAACCTCAGCCCTCTGAACAGTCCCCTTATCCTGGTACCCAGGGTGAGGCAAAGAACACTGGAAAGCCCCTGCCAGGCTGACTGGCAGGGTTTGGAGAAGGCCAGAGTGAAGTCAGGGCCGTAAGTGAGAGGTGAATAAGGGACAAGGACGTCACCACCTCATCCTTCCAGCTCTGCTTCTCCAAGCCTTCTCTAGGGGTTCCTATTTCCTAATACGCACATCTCCCTATGCAAAGCCTGGCAATTCCCTCCTCCACACTTTTCTTCAAAGGCACAAAGCCTCTTCAGTGCATACCTAGGCCCCAAGCCACACCAGAACCAGGCTCTCCCTTGTAAACCCAAAGGGCTCTGTCCCGCTAGTCAAGATCTGCCCTTCTTTTCTCCCTGGGCCATGATGAGGTCCGAAACAGCTCCGGTGTCCAGCCTTGCTATCTCGGGTTGCATATGCTGGGCATGTGGGGAATGCTCCAGGCATCTGCCAGAAAGGGGGTGGGGAAAGAAACCAGATTGGAAGGGAAGGGAGGACAAAAGACTGTGGGGTCAGTGCTGCCCAAAGGAGAGCAATTTTGGAAGTAACCTGTGGATGAGCTGAAGCACCACTCCCTATACCCAGAAAACTGATGTGTTAGAGCGAGAACGTCAGAGAAGATGGCAGTCAACCCATAAAGAAAACCCCAAGAGGCCGGGCACAGTGGCTCAATCCCAGCACTTTGGGAGGCCAAGGCGGGCAGATCACTTGAGGTCAGGAGTTTGAGACCAGCCTGGCCAACATGGTGAAAACCCATCTCTACTAAAATTACAAGAATTAGCCAGGTGTGGTGGTGGGTGCCTGTAATTCCAGCTATTCAAGAGGCTGAAGCAAGAGAATCGCTTGAACCCAGGAGGTGGAGGTTGCAGTGAGCCGAGATCGCGCCACTGCACTCCAGCCTGGGCGACAGAGCGAGACTGTCTCAGAAAAGAAAAGAAAACCCCAGGAGATAGCCCCACATATATCCCAGCATCTCTGACTCTAAATTTTTTTTGGCTCCTAGCTCTTGTCTCCGGGCCACAACCTAGAGACACAACCATCCTGTAGTGTTCACGCCCTAAATCAGGAAGTGGAAGCAGACTGGTAAAGGAGAGAATGAATCCAAGACCAGACCCATTCTCCCAAATCAGTTAAGTCAACCACCACTACCACTGAGGGCTTTCTGGAAATTCCCTGGACCCCAGGTCACCCCAACCTGGGTTTATTCTTTCAAACTGTACTGAGGTATGCTAAGGGATACAGACCAGAGTACAGGCCCAGAACCTTTATCTCTGCTTACTAAATTCTCCCCAGACTCCTTCCGAGGATTCTCCCTGGTGGTGGTGAGACCACAAGAGCACATTCATTTAAAAGTGCTGTTAGCTGAAGGAGCTCTGACCTTGGAGAAAAGCTAAGGGGGAGGGGACCCAGAGATGCTTGGGTCCATCCAGACAGTATCCTTCAGAATGCTAGGCTCTCCTGGAGAAGCAAACATGTCCTCAGATTCAAGCCTTACAACTGACCAGTGCTGTCCTCTGACAGGGACACCCAAACTTTAATGGTGGGCACAGCACCCACCTTGAACTTCCTCCCACAATTAAAGAGGCCCATCATAAAAGCATCTGCTTTAGTCCTCTATAAATCCAGATACCTACACTCACACTATGAAATAAATTTTCAGTCTTTTTGGAAGAGTTCTCTTAATGGGAACCTCGGGTTTCTCCTTCACACCCAGGGCCAAGTTCCAGTCCTTGTTTGTAACAAGTCCTCCCACCCACCTCCACCCTTGACACACAAGTCTGTCTGTCTCTTGTTATGGGACCAAACACCGAGGTTCCAAACAGGGTCTTTCACAAGCCCACATCAACAGATCTGGCTGTCATCAAACAGGTGTTCCCCGCCTCTCGGTTTCTTTAGCAACAACTCCAGCTTTCTGAAAAGAGCGCCCCACCCACCACCTTAGCCCCCAAGAGTTACCAAATCCTGACCCATCTAGCCCCATCAAAACCCCCAAAGGCTGGGTTCTATTACAAGGGTCTCCGTCCTCCCCAGCCCAAGCCCCGCTTAGGGTGCCCAATTCTCTGGCGAGAAAAGCCCCAGCCAGGACTCCATTCCTAGGCCCAAACAGAAGCCCGACACTCCGAAAACCCCTGACCACCACGGACAGACGTCCCCAACACCGCCAGCGCCCACCCTGGCTCACCGTGCGGATCTGCCTCCGCAAAAGGTAAATGAAGAAGCTCCAGAGCTTGGCGGCGAAGGCCACGAACGTGCGCAGCCCCAGCAGACACTGCGTCCGCATCATCCCGATGACCCCGGCACCGCCGGCCCCGGGGCCCCCGCGGCCCAGCTCCGCCAGCCCCCCGGGGGCAGCCCCCCGCCGCCGGGAGGGGGAACGGGGGCCCCGAGTGGCAGGAGAGGCTGCAGAGAGGGGCACGGAGCGGGCGGCTCAGAAAGCCACCCCTGGCGAGGGGAAAGCCCAGCGGAACGGGGAGCTGGGGGACAGGCGTGGGCAGCCCGCGGGGGCCCACATGGGCTGGGAGTGGCACCGACGGCTTCGGGGAGGTTGCGGGCCGAGACAGGTCGGGCTAGGATGGGGTCCTCCGAGACCAGGAGGGAAGGGGAAGGATAATTGGGGGAGGGGGCAGTGGGGGAGGGGGCTAGGGAAAAGGGAGGAAGGGAAAAGGGAGGGGGAGGGGAAGGGGGAAAGCGGAGAGTGGCCCGCTGCGCAGGCGCGCTAGGGGGCTGCCCGCAGGAACGGGGAGGGCGGGGGCAGTGGCGCGCAAAGGGCCGCGGCAGCGGAGAACGGCCCTGCAGAGCGAAGGAGCAGGGAAGGAGGGGGAGGGGGAGCCGAAGGGCGCGGAGCACTGGGCCGGAGCGGCCTCCCCCTCCCCGAGCTTGGGGGTCCTTTAGCCGCTGGGGAGCGGGGCTGCAGCCTCTGCAGCTGGGTTTCCCACTCTGACAGGCGCCATTTTACCGCCCAAAGGACTCCCTCCTCCTGTCTTTCCCCCTCTCTTCCCCTTTGACACTGCTTCCGGTGGTGACGTGTATTCGCTTCACCGGGACTAAGTTCCCCCTGCGCGGTCTATGGGGGTAGGTATAAGGAAAGTCAGAAGCACTCCGAACGAGGCTGCAGTATTGCGCACGCGCAGAAGGTGGCCGCGGGGCGGGGCCTGAGGCAAAGCAGGCCCCGCCTCGAACTGCGTGGGCGGGGCGGAGGCCGTCACTTGTCCCCGCAGTTAGGACCCTCGCGGGGGGTTTGTGGGTCCTCTTCCCCCTCCCACTGACAACTGCCCCAACTGCTCTTCCTGTCCCGGTCACAGTGAAAATGTAGAAGGGGTCGTTGTCCGTACGACTGTGCGCCAGGGCTCGGGGAGGGGCGCCCTCCTCGTGAGCGCCCCCCCTGGGAATAGTGAACATAATCACCTCTCATTCCAGACTATGTTAGGTCTTAATGGTGGGAGGATGCCCGAGTGCCCCGCCCGTTTCACCCCGAGGGGGCGGGACAGTGGGTCGTGACGCTATCAGAGGGCGCCAGAGCAGGGACCGGACGCGAGTTGGGGATGTTGGACTCGCTGTTATCCTTGGGCGGCCTGGTGCTGCTTCGGGGTGAGAGCCAGCGGCACAGGGGGGTTCGGGTCTGGCTGAAGGGACGGAAGTGGAGAGGAGGGCCATGGGTCACAGGCTAGGTGTGGAGATCGCGACGGGTTCGCGAAGTTGGTAATCCTAGCGCCCTCACACTCTATCCGTCCCTCGCTGTGCAGATTCCGTGGAGTGGGAGGGGCGCAGTCTCTTGAAGGCGCTTGTCAAGAAATCTGCACTGTGGTGAGTATCCCACGGTGTCTCCTCAGCCTACCCTGGATAGAGAACCTGTGCCCACTCTTTGACAGTCCCCCCTCATCTCTGCCTTAGTGGGGAGCAAGTGCATATCCTGGGCTGTGAAGTGAGCGAGGAAGAGTTTCGTGAAGGTTTTGACTCTGATATCAACAATCGGTAAGTACCAGTTGGAAAAGATTTGATTAAATTGGAGACGTCTATTGCTAAGGAAATTTATTTATAACAAGCGCAGAACCTAGTATATAGTAGCAGTTCCTTAAATATTCATTGAAGAATTGGATATGGGTCTTTCAGGAGGCAAGAATTAGTAAGAGGAGTAATGAGGAGTGATGAGTATTTGGGGAATCCAAAGCAAAGATCATAGAAGTTGAGAGAGAAATAGCCTGGAGATAGGGAGAACATGTGGGAAGGGTATTGCAGTAATCCATTAATCCAGGTTCACTATTAAGGTTCGTATGTACCGAGCACCAACTATAAACCCTGTGCTGTGCAAGATACTGGAGCTGGCAGTGAATGAGACAGACCTGTTCCTGGCCTAATGAATTTTAGGGAATAATGGTAGAAAGTGATAGAGGCCTGGTTTAAGGCAGTGGCATTAGAGATGGAAAGTTTAGAACACATGTAAAGGACTTTAGTGGGTAGCATTTCCAGGATTTATTGACTAATGTGGGGGAGAAAAAAAAGACAAGGAAGTCCCTAAACCCAGCCATATGCCTGATCAGGAGACATTAAGAACCATTAGTAGGATGCTTTCTACTTCCTAGTCTGGGCAACTCAGTGGATAATGATAGTAGTTTACATCTTATCTAATTTTGCATCAGCCATTGTTGTGATAGAGGTGGTGGTGTATGTTAAGATGGCATTCCACGGCCAGGTGTGGTGGTTCACGCCTTTAATCCCAGCACTTTGGGAGGCTGAGGCGGGTGGGTCACCTGAGGTCGGGAGTTCGAGACCAGCCTGACCAACGTGGAGAAACCCCATCTCTACTAAAAATACAAAAAATTAGCTGGGCATGGTGGCACATGCCTATAATTCCAGCTACTCGGGAGGCTGAGGCAGGAGAATCGCTTGAACCTGGGAGGCAGAGGTTGTGGTGAGCAGAGATCGCGCCATTGCATTCCAGCCCAGGCAACAAGAGCGAAACTCTGTCTCAAGAAAAAAAGGAGGGCATTCCACAAGAGAACCAGAAGATAAACAAGAGATATCTGGGGGAAAAAAAAGTTCTGCTATCTTTGCTGGTCTACCTTTTCTGAGCTGTTATTTTTTTCTGTAGTTGGTACTCCATGACTTAATTTTTTACTTTCTTTAAGCTGTTCTACAGGCAGGAACCAAGTCTCATGTCCTCTGCTTTCTCATTTTTTATCCAGAGTGATAAACTTTAGGTGCCACATTCAGGAAATATGTGATGATGGTGATAACTAACATTTATGAGGCATACACTATGTGTCAAGCACTGTGCTGAGTGCTTAGAGGTTGGCATCTCAGTTCACCAATGAAGCAACTGAGTCTAAATGATAATTTATCATTTAGCTGACCTTGGGCAACAAGTCGCAAAGCCAAGCTTGGAGGTCAGGCTGTCAGACACCAAAGTCTGTGCTCTCAATCATTGCTATCTCTCAGTAATACTCTTTCACTAATATTTAGGAGATTCATGAAAATGGAGAAAACAGAACCACAAAGATCAGAGAATGAACTTTGTGATCCTCTGGGGGGAAGGAGCAATATTATATTGTGTCGTGTTTTCCCTTTGCAGGCTGGTTTACCATGACTTCTTCAGAGACCCTCTCAACTGGTCAAAAACTGAGGAGGCCCTTCCTGGGGGGCCGCTGGGAGCCTTGAGAGCCATATGCAAGAGGACAGATCCCGGTCCTGTCACCGTTGCTCTCGATTCACTCAGCTGGCTGCTGCTTCACCTTCCTTGCACCACAGTCTGCCAGGCCCTGCATGCTGTGAGCCATCAGGACTCCTGTCCTGGTGAGACCTCTCCTTCATTGTTTCCCCTCATGTATCTCCCTCTGCCAAGGAGTGTGCCCCTTTTCCTTTCTACCCTAGAAGAAACGTCTGGGTTCTCCAGTCAGACCTTTTTTCATTTTTTTGAACTTTTTGTCTGTTTTTTTTTTTTTTTTGCTTCCCCTTAATGCCATCTACCATTTGCTTTTTTTCCTCCAAGTTATTTTTTTACTCATTTGTTTCACTCATTCATTTATTTAACAAATCAATAGTAAATACATATAATATGTCAGGTACCATTCTAGATAATGGCAAAATACAGACTGACTGTAGCTGGGTCCTTGCCTTCCAGGAGCTCAAAGTCCCATAAAAGATGGAGATAAGTAAACAGGCAGTTACAAGATGGTCTGATAAAGGCCATGATGATATAGGACATGCACAGGGTACCTTAAAGAAGGGCACTCTCGGCTGGACGCGGTGGCTCACGCCTGTAATCCCAGCACTTTGGGAGGCCGAGACAGGTGGATCATGAGGTCAGGAGTTCAAGACAAGCCTGGCCAAGATGCTGAAACCCCGTCTCTACTAAAAATACAAAAATTTGCCAGGCGTGGTGGCACGCGCCTGTAGTCCAGCTACTCGGGAGACTGAGGCAGAATTGCTGAACCCGGGTGGCAGTGGTTGCAGTGAGCCAGGATTGCGCCACTGCACTGTAGCCTTGGTGACAGCAAGACTCTGTCTCAAAAAAAAAAGAAAAAAATTGTTAAATGTCAGTGATTTCATATGGTTTAACCTAAAAATGCTGACCTTTGTAAGGATTCAAACATTGTGTTAAAGCATTTAGCATAGCGCCGGACACCCTCTAAAGGCACTGACTGAGATCTTGGGAAGTTCCAGAAACTACAGGTACTTCCGTGTGTAAGAGATGAGGCTAGAAAGTAAGTGGACACCACCTGCTAGAAGTGTTCATTCCATCCTGAAGGCGGAGGAGCTGCTGAAGGATAGAAGTTAGAGCGGTGCCTTGATCAGCTTTACACGGGGATAATAGAGGAGATTAAGGTGTGGGCTGGAGGAGGCTCAGAGCACGGTAGTGAGATTGGCCAAGGGAAGTCAGGATTTTGGCAGCACTGTGATGGAATTGTGGGGCTCTCTCCTTTTCTCTTCACTGTTTGCTCCCAGGCCACCAACCTGAATGCTCCCTACTATCCTACATGTCTTGTCCGTCTCTAGGTGACAGCTCCCCGGCGGGGAAAGTGAGTGTGCTGGGCTTGCTACATGAAGAGCTTCACGGACCAGGCCCTGTGGGAGCTCTCAGCAGCCTTGCGCAGACTGAGGTGACCCTGGGCGGTACAAAGGGCCAGGCCTCGGCCCACATCCTGTGTCGGAGGCCCCGACAGCGCCCAACTGACCAGGTCAGAAGAACCAACAGGGAAGGACTGGAAATGGGGGGCAGAGAAAGGAGTGGCACGATGGGAAGAACAATGAAAATGCTGATATTTCAAGGAGACACTAAAAACAAACTTTTTTTAGAGATGGGGTTTCACTGTGGTGGTCAGGGTGGTCTCAAACTCCTGGGCTCAAGTGATCCTCCCACCTCAGCCTCCCAAAGTGCTAGGATTACAGATGTGAGTGAGTGTGCCCGGCCCTCAGGGAGACCTTTTTTAAAAAAAAGCTGATTGGGTATCTCTCTGTGTTTTCCATCACTTACCTCATTTAATCTTCTCAGCTATGGTGTAAGGTAGATTGTTTTATTATCACAGTTTTTCAGGTGGTAAAGCCAATACAGGGAGGGGTTTTTTTCCTTGTTTCTTTTCTTTTTTTTTTTTTGGACAAGGTCTCACTCTGTGGCCCGGGCTGCTGTGCTGTGGTGCAATCATAGCTCACGGCAGCTTTGACCTCCCATGCTCAAGTGATCCTCCTGCCTCAGCCTCTGGTGTAGCTGGAGCTGGGAACACAGGCACGTAGCACCACAGCCAGCCAGCTTGTTAGTTTTTTATATAGGTGGGATCTCACCCTGTTGCCCAGGCTGGTCTTGAATTACTGAGGTCAAGCCATCCTCTGGCCTTGGTCTCCCAAAGTGCTGGGATTACAGGTGTGAGCCACTGCACGCGGCCCAGGGAGGTTTAAATTTAAGTCACTTACCAAGATTATAAAGTGTAAGTGGGGCCCAGGCAAGGTGGCTCACGCCCGTAATCCCAGCACTTTGGGGGGCCAAGGTAGGCAGATTGCGTGAGGTCAGGAGTTTGAGAGGAGTCTGGCCAACATGGTGAAATCCCATCTATACTAAAAATACAAAAATTAGCCGGGCGGCCGGGCGCGGTGGCTCAAGCCTGTAATCCCAGCACTTTGGGAGGCCGAGACGGGTGGATCACGAGGTCAGGAGATCGAGACCATCCTGGCTAACCCGGTGAAACCCCGTCTCTACTAAAAAATACAAAAAACTAGCCAGGCGATGTGGCGGGCGCCTGTAGTCCCAGCTACTCGGGAGGCTGAGGCAGGAGAATGGCGGGAACCCGGGAGGCGGAGCTTGCAGTGAGCTGAGATCCGGCCACTGCACTCCAGCCTGGGCGACAGAGCCAGACTCCGTCTCAAAAAAAAAAAAAAAAAAAAAAAAAAATTAGCCGGGCATGGTGCACACACCTGTAGTCCCAGCTACTCTGGAGGCTAAGGCAAGAGAATCGCTTGAACCCGGGAGGCAGAGGCTGCAGTGAGCCAAGATCATGCCACTGCACTCCAGCCTGGGCAACAGAGTGAGACTCCTCAAAAAAAAAAAAAAAAAAAAATGTAAGTGGGGCTGGGCAAGGTGGCTCACGCCTGTAATCCCAGCACTTTGGGAAGCAGAGGTGGGCAGATCACCTGAGGTCAGGAGTTCAAGACCAACCTGGCCAACATGATGAAACCCCGTCTCTACTAAAAATACAAAAATTAGCTGGGCATAGCGGTGGGTGCCTGTAGTCCCAGCTACTCGGGAGGCTGAGGTGGGAGAATCACTTGAACCTGGGAGGTGGAGGTGGAGGTGAGCCAGGAACATGCCACTGCACTCCAGCCTAGGCAACAGAGTGAGACTCTGTCTCAAAAAAAGAGTAAGTGGGGCTGCTCTGCCTAAGGAGTAGCCATCCTTTTATTCCTTTACTTCCTTAATAAACTTGCTTTCACTTTTGAAAATAAAATAGAGGCTGGGCACAGTGGCTTACACCTGTAATCCCCACATTTTGGGAGGCTGAGGTGGGCAGATCACCTGAGATTAGTGGTTCGAGACCAGCCTGGCCAACACAGAGAAACCCCATCTCTACTAAAAATTCAAAAGTTAGCTGGGCGTGGTAGCACGTGCCTGTAATCCCAGCTACTCGAGAGGCTGAGGCAGGAGAATCACTTGAACCTGGGAGGTGGAGGTTGCAGTGAGCCAAGATCACGCCACTGTACTCCAGCCTGGGCAACAAAGCCAGACCCTGTCTCAAAAAAAAATTAAAAGTTGAGGGCAGGGGCTGAAAGCAGTGAAATAGGTGACTGGGGGCTGAGGATGTGAGGTCCTAGAGTCTCTCTAGTTTCTTCAGTAAGATGAAAAAACTCTTTTCTTTTTTCTCTCCAGACTCAGTGGTTCTCCATACTTCCAGACTTCAGCCTGGATCTCCAAGAGGGACCCTCTGTAGAGTCCCAGCCCTGCTCCGATCCTCATATACCCCCGGTATCTAAGAATGCCAGGGCCAGAATAAGGAAATGTAGTTTAGGGTCTGGTCAAAGGGGAGAGAATAAAAGCTGCAGAGGTTGGGGGTGGGGTCAGGGATTCTAGGGATGGGGCAGAGTGGCAGCATCCTTTGTACCTACAGGTGGATCCCACAACTTATTTGACCTTTAACCTTCAACTGTCCAAGAAAGAGAGAGAAGCCAGAGATAGCCTGATCCTGCCCTTCCAGTTCAGCTCTGAAAAGTAAGGTCGGGACCTGGGTACATGGATCCCTGAGTAGAGCCCAGCATCTGGGCCACGGAGAGGTGGGGCAACAGCAGGTTATTGATTAACCTGACTTTATAGGGGCTGAAGTCCACCTCCAGAGACAAGTCCAAGTTCTTGATCCACCCATTCCCCCTACAATGGCCGAGGGCCTTTATGTCTCTTTTCTCTCCCTTAGACCCTTGGGTCACAGCTCCAGTTGTCCCCAGAGCACCCTGGGCCTGGGCTGAGCCAGACCAGACCCTTGAGAGGTGGCCCTATCCCTAGGCAGTGGTGCTAGGAGGACAGAAGGCTATATGGGCGTGGCAAAGGCTGGTTAACAAGAGCTTAGTGCATGCCTGCTGTTCTGTGCCCAGTGTGTGGGTGGATGAAGCAAGACTACAAGATCCTTGCCCCCAAGCTGCTAGGAACTTACGGTTTTATTAGGAGAGCAGTACAAGGGTATCTATTCCAGTACCAAATGGTGCTTCAGCTCTAACATGGAGGTGAGAGAAAGGGACTTGGACCAAGAAAATGACATGGAGGCCTAACAGGTTGCCTCAATGAGAGTCACAGTCACCTGGAAGAAAGTATCCAGACCCAACCTGTCAGCTACCCTCACCAGCACCAAATCTTCCCTTCTCAGACAGCAGGCTCTCCTGCGGCCTAGGCCAGGCCAGGCTACCAGCCACATTTTCTATGAGCCAGATGCTTATGATGACCTGGACCAAGAAGACCCAGATGACGACCTAGATATTTGACTGGTCAGATTTGATTAGATTGTCATTGGAGGGGGCGCAGGAAGACTTTGGGCCCAGAACCATCTTTCTCTTGTTTGTGTTAGCCTTACCCTGTCCCTACCCCACCTTGGTTCCCCTTGTCTATGGATCCCTGCTCTGTGAGCCAGGAAGCAGCGTCTCATCAGGACAGAAGGTAGGATGAAGACACGGGATAATGTGAGAGTAGAACATCCCCGTACCTAATAAAATCTTTATTTTTGTATTAAAAAAGAAATACTTTGGTAGCTATTTAAATAAGGGAAGTGGGAATGGATGTCAAGATACAAGCACCTGCATCTTTTAGTCTATTGTCAATGGAGTCTGGGGGCCAGGAATGGTGTGCAGGCCACGGGGGCGCTAAGTGTTCTGAACTGAAGTAGGTGCAGTAAGGTTCCAAGCTCCCTGCAAGGATCCAGAAGGGAGGAAAGGAGAGGCCCTGAAGGGAAAAAAAGCCTGCTTCCCAAAACTTACTTTTTATTACTGTACAAAAAGCACACACTCCCTCTTTTTGTCTCTCCCACCAACCCTCCCCACCCCCCACCCAAGAGGACTATACATGGAGTGCAGGGACAGAGTGACCAGGAGGCCTTTGTCCGGCACCCTGCCCACAGGCTGAGCTCAGCCCCAGGCCCTTTCAGCCATCTAGACACGCCCACAGCCTGTCAGGCTGGGGCCAGGAGATTCCAGGTCACACATACTCCTTGGAAGAGTTAGACTTAGGGTAAGAGCGGGGTGCATGGTACCCAGCCTTGCTCTCATTCCTAGGACAGGAACAGGAGAGCAGTGCACCTCCCAGGATGACTAGGGCAGACCCTGCCCAGCCAATAAAGATGGCAGGGCCAAACTCATACCTGTGAAGAGAAAGGGGTGGTTAGAAACCCTGACCTGCCTCTGCCCTCCTCCCTATCCCCGGACCCCAGACCTGTCCCCTTAGGAGGCAGGGTTCCCAGACTTACTTAATGTTGGTAGGGATCAAGGGGTTATAAAAGTCTGTGACAATCTGATGGCCATACCAGGAGCAAGCTATCAAGGCGGCAAGACCTGGAGAGAGAATGAGGGTTTCGGTATAGTGGGTCCCCAAACGGGCACCTTGCCCAGCCTCGCTCGTCCCAGATGGGAGAACCTTGGGGCTCACCTGCCACGATGAAAATTATGCCTCCACCCATGGCTATACGGGCCTTCTTCACTTTGTCGTCTCCCCCACAGCGCGTGCACTTCATGCCCATCGTGGCCACAAACATGGCCAGGAAGCCCAGCACCAGGGAGACCACCATTAGGGCTCGAGTGGCCTGCATAGCCGCTGCGGGCGAGGGGAAAGGGCACCGTCATTGCTGGAAATGCAGGTGGCTCCAGCCTTCGTGCCTCCGGCCGCGCCCACTAACCCCTGGACCTCGTCTGTCCGGCGCCGTGTTCTGCCGCGGGCCAGGGGCGCCCAGGTGTCCGAGGCCTGGGCCAAACGGGCAGGTCCCCGCCCCTCCCAACAGCGCGGCCTTCCTGCTCCCGCCCCGCCCTCTCCGCTTAAGGATCCGCCCGGGGCGCCGGGGTTTCGGTGAAACTGCCCTGTATAGGGGGAAGGGTGAAAGGGGCAACGAAGGGAAGCCGAGACGGTGGCCCGAGCCCCGCGCGGCGCACATGCCAGCCGGCGGCCCTGCTCTGAGCCCGCTATCGAGGCCACCGGGTTTGTGGCTTCGGCTAATCGGCCGATAAGATTAGAGGCCGCAGGCGGCGGCCCACTGTGACCAGCCTCACCGCCCTTCGGCCCTCGGCGCGCCCAGTGCTCCGCGTCCCGGGGTCGTTTCTGTCTGAGAAAAGGGCGGGAGATGACGGAGGCCGTGGCCTGCCCAGGGATTGGGGAGGGGACGGCTCTGGCCTAAGAACCGCTGCTCGGAGCCAGGGACTAGGCTGGGTTGGGGGGCGGAAGAGGATCGTGGGCGACCGAGGTGCGCGCCCACGTGCAGCCTCCAGAACCCCGGCCCGCTCCCGCCCAGCCTCGCCGCCCCCACCCGACCACTTCCCCGTCCTGCAGCTCCACGGCAACCCAGGGCGCCCAGCGTGGGGCTTCGGCTCTCCCACGCGCGCCACCCCGCCACCTCGGTCCGGGGCGCGTCCGCCCCGTCGGTCCCGCGGCCTTACCGGGCAGGGCGAGCACCGAGTCGTACATTTTGCAGCTCATCATCCCCGTGCTCTGCGTGACGCAGTCCATCCACAGCCCCTTGTACATGGCCTGGGCCGTGATGATGTTGTCGCCCGCATAGGAGCTCATCTGCCACTGCGGGATGGCGGTGCAGGCCACCAGACCCACCCAGCCCAGCAGGGCCATGGAGAAGCCCAGCAACTGCAGGCCCGAATTGGCCATTTCCGCCCTCAGAAAACACTGGGGGCGCCGGGCTGGAGACCCTACAGTAAAACAAACGACACTTGGGGGGCAGCCCCACGAAAGAAAACTTGAGGTGGAGTTTTCCGGTCACCCAAACAGACAAAAAGAGTTTGGGTCAGGTGAATGCAAATCTTGTCACCGAAGTACACACAAATCGACCCCTCCAGTGAAGCGAAGGCCTCGCAGCAGAGGGAATAGGATACGCCGGGAGGGTGGTTCCAGACAAAAGCGGTCCCCGAAGGCCAGGCGGTTCCCTCCGGCGCTCTCGGCGACCCTAGCCAAACAAAAGGTGGAGGGGCCGTCTGGGCGCGGTTCTGGGCGCCGGCAAGTCCCAAAGTATCCTGGGCTGTTAGTCCGAGTTTGCGGTGCGCAGCAGGGGTGGCTCGGAGGCGAGCCGGCAGGTGCGGGCGGACAGGTGGGGCGCACCTGAGTATATGTAGGGCGTCGGGGGCGCGGCCCGCGGGCCCCGGGAGCGCGGGAGGGGAAGGCGGGACCGGAGGGGCGGCCGAGGGTGACCTGACGTCACCGAAGGGACACTCACCTGAACCGGAAGTCGTGGCCCCCACCCCTCCTTGCCCAGGTGAGGAGGAAGAAACCTGAGCACCAGGGTCACGCCCCTTCGCTTGCCCGGTTTTGACCGCCGCTGGGGAGGAGGCGGTGGCTCCCCGGGAGTCCCAAGCTCCGAATCAGCCCCTCCGGACTGGATTTCCCTCGAACACCGGGATGCCCCTTCCCTTCTTCCCAACAGGTGCGCCTGGGACGCTGCGGGGAGCCCCTGACCAGCCTCCGCGCCGCCCTTTCCCCGCCGGGTTCTGTCCAAAGTGCTCTCTCCCCGGTCCTGCTTTCGCCCCCACCCGCTGCTCTCCTTTTTCTTCTGTCTCCTACCCTAGTCGATTCCACCTTCGGGGGCCCTGGCCGGATCTCTGAGAGTCGCCCCCTTCAGCACCCGCTTCACTGTCCCGGTTCTCTGGCTCTGCTACAGACACCCGACTTCTGAGCGTGGCTCCCCAACAGCCCCACCTTCCTGTGCCCCCATTCCAACCCGACATGACTTACAGCCTGAACCCTTTGCACTCAACCTCCCCACCTACCACTAGCCCCTCCGGCATCAAGGATCCTAACTGGAGGAAGAAACCACTGGGACCGAAAGCCGGCCGAGGGTGGGGAGCGGGGTGAGGGCTAGGTCAGAGTCTTGGCCACACCCATCGTTCCCCTCCCTTTGAGTCTTTTCAGACCTATCCTCCACCTTTCCCACCCCTCCCCCACACTCGCCCGTTTCTCTTTCCCTCCCGAGCACTGCCTATTGCTGTGCACACCCTCACGCCCTCACTGTTCCGTCCTCCCTATAATCTGGCTCTCTAAGGTGGTCGTCCATGGTCCCTCACCCTGCAGTTTTGCTCTGTCTCCCCAAAGCGTTGCTCCCTCCTTCCTCCTGGCACCCCTTCCAGCCTTTTGCTCCTTCCTCCTTCATCTTTGGACATCTCCCCTTCCTGCCTTTCCTGCTTTGGAGCTTCCTATTTTACTCCTTGTCTTTTTGTTTGTTTGTTTGTTTGAGAGGGGAGGGGTCTGTGTTACCCAGGCTGGAGTGCAGAGGTGCAAATCTCAGCTCACTGCAGCCTCGCCTCCCGGGCTCAAGCGATCACCCCGCCTCAGCGTCCCCAGTAGCTGGGACCGCAGGTGCACACCACCACGCCCAGCTAAAGTTTTTGTATTTTTGGTGGAGAAGGGGTTTCACCGTGTTGCTCAGGCTGGTCTCCAACACCTGAACTCAAGCAATCCCCCCATCCCCGCCTCTTAAAGTGCAGGATTACAGGCGTGAGCCACCGCACCCAGCCCACTCCTTGTCGTTTCGTTTACCTTTGTGCCTTGTCTCCAGTCTCCTTGGAACCCAGCATCAGCAATTACTCTTTCTTTCCCCTTCTTAGGTGCACGCTGCACTTTCCCCACCCACCCTGCCCAGTTTCCTCCCAATCTTCCTACTACCCTCCAACCTCCTCCTACTTCTCAGATTCTCACATACCCTGTTTATTCTGGCTCTGTCTCATTTCATTTTCCTCTCTCCGTGTTTTACCTCAACTCTCTCACGTTTTTTATTTTTATTTTTTTGCCCTCTCAAACATTTCTCTCCTTCCTTCATTTATTCGCTAAACATATTAAAGTCTCCCTTACACTAAGCTAATTGACCTGCTTTTGTATAAAATGAAGACTTTCATGAACTCTTTTTTTGTTGTTGTTGAGACAGAGTTTTGCTCTTGTCACCCAGGCAGGAGTGCAATGGCGTGATCGCGGCTCACTGCAATCTCCACCTCTTGGGTTCAAGTGATTCTCCTGCCTCAGCCTCCCAAGTAGCTGGGGGTACAGGTGCCCATCACCACGCCCGGCTAATTTTTTTTTTTTTTTAACACGGAGTCTCGCTGTCTCCCACGCTGGAGTGCAGTGGCGCGAACTTGGCTCACTGCAATCTCCGCCTCCCGGGTTCGCGCCATTCTCCTGCCTCAGTCTCCCGAGTAGCTGGGACTACAGGCACCTGCCAGCATGCCCGGCTAATTTTTTGTATTTTTAGTAGAGACAGGGTTTCACTGTGTTAGCCAGGATGATCTCGATCTCCTGATCTCGTGATCCACCTGCCTCGGCCTCCCAAAATGCTGGGATTACAGGCGTGAGCCACCGCGCCCAGCCAGTTTTTGTATTTTTAGTAGAGATGGGGTTTCACCATGTTGGCCAGGCCAATCTCGAATTCCTGACATCAGGTGATCCCAACCCACCTCGACCTCCCAAAGTGCTGGAATTACAGGCGTGAGCCACCACTCCCACCCATGAACTCTTTGTTATTCATTTTTATTGTTGTATTTTTGGAT